CCTCCTCCTCCTCCTCCTCCTCCTCCTCGCTCATTGCATCCACCGCAGCTTTGCGCAAGGCGCTCTCGCGGTACGATGAGGCCCTGGAAGCGCGCGCAAAGAGCCACGCTCGCTGCGCAGAACTCGTCGAGCTAGATGGGTGGTATCGCAAAGACTTGTGGCTAGTCATTCGACAACGCGATCAAGCAGCAGTCCAAGAGTCGGGCAGCAGATCTGAGCGCCACTTGCGACTCGAAGAGTTGTGCAAAGTCATGAAATGGAAGCTCACCGTGAGTAGCGCGCGCGAGCAAAGGCGCCGCGCCGCGCCGCGCGTACAGCTCGAGCTGATCGGATCGATCCATCGCCTCACCCGCCATCGCCCTTGTCAGAGAGGCAGCTTTCGCCCCAAATTGCTCAGTCTGGTCGAGAGCAATTCGTCTGTCGTCGTGCGCGAGACGACATGCAGGGCTTGGCGAGAGGTGCAAACGTCGCCCGAGGCGGCCATCAAGGCGCTTTCGGAGCTCAAAGGCGTGGGTCCGGCAACTGCGACTGCCATCCTGTGCGCACTCACGCTGGGCCAGTACGCATTCATGTCGGATGCAGCCATGGAGCGCGCGTGCGGTATGAAGCCGGAATACACCGCGAAAGCCGCAACGCATTTCCGAAACAAGATGCAAGAGAGGATGGATACGGATGAACCGAGATGGAAGAGCCTCGACGAGCTGGAGCGAGCTGCTTGGGCCTTCGACACGCTGAGCCGGCTCGGTACGCCGCCGGCCAACGATGCCCCCACCAATCAGCTACCACCGCAGACAAAGCGCAAGGCACCCTCTCCTCTTGCGCAGACAGAAGGCAGGAGGAGCTCAAGACGCAAAAAGGCGTGAAATGCAACGTTTCGTAGTGCTTTCGAGTGGCGTGAGCGTGTGCGCGTGACTAAAAGTGCCAATGACTTGCAAGGGAGTAATGTACAAATGATTTTGCTGTTCGAAGCAACGCCAGCCAATTGCTTGTTCTCGCGCGCCGCGCATTAGCGCTCGGCACGTTCCCGGTGTAGAGACCGCTCATGGCTATGGGCGGCCGTCGCGTTAGCGCTTGGCAAAGCATTGCGGCTCCTGAAGAGCGGCCGCCATCCGCGTTGTTGCGGCTGCGGCTGCGGCTGTGACTGTGAATGGGGCTGGTCATGACTTTCCGAGACATCGCCTACGGTCGGCGTCGTATCAGCAGGTGAGCTCGCGTCGCTGTCGCTCAATGAACCGCTGCGCTGCGGATCCAGACTTGGTAGCATGCCTGCAGCGCGGGCTTCGCGGATCGTCATAGTGCCAGCTTTGTCGCTTGCGATGTACGCGCTCGGTCCATCCCCATGATCCGCCTTTGCAAAGGCAGAGCGGGCCATGATGCGGGCAATATGCTCGTCGTCGTCGTCATCGTCGTCGTCTTGCCCTGCAAAGTTGCCATCGGCATGGTTTGATTGGGCCGCAAGATGAAGCGTCGTCTCGCTAGGATTCGGTGCGTCTGGCTCTACGAAGAAATTGGACAGGTCGTGCAATTGGTTCAAAGCTCCGCCCAAATCGTCCATGTTTGCGATCGAGTCGGTGCCGTTTGTGCTGGCCAAGGAACCAATTTGCGGATCGTCAGAAGGACCTTCGTCAACAAACATGACCTCGCCAACGGGCGCAGTCTCCAGCGACAGCTCGCATGTCTTGAAGACGGCTTGCACATTGATTCGCGATCGGGTAGTCATTTCTTGAGGGTGCGCAACCGCCCACCCGCTGTCGTCTGGCGCTCCAAAGATGGCAGCGTCGCTCGACTGCTCCCGACGTCGACTGGGTTTGCCCCATTGCAGGCTCATGCGCAGGATCTGGTTGGCGGCAGGGCCACCATTGATGACGATGGGCTCGTCGAGCACATCGAGCGCTTCGGCCGACAAGGGCGTTGACAAGAGCCGTAGCAACGGCATGAGCAGCTCGGAACCCAGATCCGCAAAAGCGCCAGAGCGCGTGTCGATGACTTGGAAAAAGACTTTGAGGACCTGCAGAGTCTGCTTTCGCAGCCATTCGTGTTGATTCAAGGAAATGCCGAGGAGCAGCACGACGAGGTCCGGCCCAAGATTGGGAAGATAATGATCCTTGATGCAGCCAACCGCCTGGCGGACAAGGTCATCCTTTGTGCGGAATCGAGCCTTGACTATCGAAGTGGCGACGCGTTGAAGATCCATCTTGCACGCAGCGGCGGCCAGAATAGCAATGTCGTCTGCTAGCTGCAAGACGTTGCTGTCCTGCGTATGAGGGGCATCGGATGATTGCAAGAACCATGGCAGAGCTGCGACAAATGTAAAGGCAAGGCGATCGTTGCTAGAGTCTACCAGCATGCCATTCTTGACCTTTGCGAGGCGTGCCAGGATGTTGAACGCTGCGGTCGAGGTGCCAGACGACCGCAGACCTCGAAGGACCAAAGTCTGAATGGATCCGGCGTCCCCTTCCCAGCCTTCGGGGCACCTCGCGCGGAGCAGATCGATAGTCTCGAGCGATCCAATGTCGATCTTGTCCAGTAGCGCGTCCAGCAAGGCCAAGGCTTCCGCAAATTCTCGCTCGTTGGCAGTCGAAAGGCACGCGAGACAGCACCAGAAAGTCTGAATGAGAATCTCAGTCTCTCCAACGGGGGCAGACCGTACGACTGCGGTAAGCGTGTACAGCACTTCCAAGGCGAATGTCTGAATGTCGACACTGGGATCAGAAATGGTGTTGCCAAGTCGATTAAGCATGTCGGCCAGCATGGTCGGTGTGGTCGTGGGCAAGAGTATGCGAAACGTCTGAAAGGATCGACATGCCATGTGACGGACTGGAGAAGAGGTTGCCCACTGCAGAGAGACTCGGCCCCACTCTGCACGCAGCCCGGGATACAGATCATCCAAGGCTGCAAGCAATTCGTTGAGGGTCGCGCGCATCATTCGAGGCGTGCGAGTCTGATCCAGGTCGACGTTCAAGTCATCGTGCGACCAAAAGAGACTGGGAGAGCCCTTGGCAAACATCGATTCTACTTGCTGCTTGGCCGTCCGAGAGGTGAGCGAGAAGCCGGTGGACGTTTGCACCAGAGGCGCAGAGGTGACTGTGCGCATGACCTGTTCGAGCATGCTCATCATCTGTTCTTGCATAAAGGACGAAACGCTGTCGATCTGCATGAAGATCGCGTGCAGCAAGAGCGGCAGCCATTGCTCCAAGTGCCCGGAGCGCTCGTACGTGAGCTCTCCCACCAAGAGCAACGCCAGCTGTCCTGGCGAAAAAGTTTGCCGCCGAGACGGGTCCAGGAGCAGTGGCGCTAGATTTGCGCAGTGGAGATGGGCGTGCGTCGCGTCGAGCACGGGCGATGCCCCGTCTCTTGGTACCGGGATAGCCGAAGAGGGCTCGATTCGTGCGCACAGCTCCGCGAAGAGAACCGGAGAAATGATGGTTCGAGAGAGGCAAGAGATGGCTCGCTTGGCCTGCACTACGAATATAGAACTTCGAAAGTGAAGAGCCTGCTCGATGAGAAACCGAACGATAAAAGTGGCATTGATGCCAGGTTCAGGGCCTTCGGCCAAGCTCGTCCACATGTCTTGGATCTCAAAGTTGTGCTCGTCTCCGTACTTGATCGTCAGGAAAGTCAGGTTGGTGAGAATGAGAAATGTGGTGCCTGGCACTTCCGCACCAGCTCTGTAATGGTCAGCGACTGAGAATGGAAGCGATTCAGAAAGCACGAGGCCGTCTAGCCATTCTGGAATGAGGCCAAGCGTGGTCGCGCGCCTGCCAATGTCGATGGTCGGAAGACGCAAAGTGTACTCGGACAGCATGGCAATCTTGAGCAGGGGCAGGCTGAAGGCGAGGTGAGCAGAGACCTCCCTCTGTGCGCGCAGGTAGGTTGCCGGCAGCGGACTTGCTACTCCAGCCTCGAGATCTTGCAGGCCGAGATCGCTCCGACACTTTCGACCGAGGGACTCCAAGAGCACAAAGGCTCTCCGCCGTATCTCGTGATCGGGATGCCCAAGCTTGATGAGGCCGAGGCACAGGCTTTGATGGATCGGCACGTCAAACGTGTCGTGCTCAACCAACACCTTGCCCAGAACGGCAAAGAAGGAGCGCGGCGCCGCAACGTCTTCTGCTTCCGCAAAACAGAGGTTGATCGCCTTGCCCACCAACTCAGGATGCGTCGCATTGTAGATCAGCAAGGCGTGCAGAGCACGACTACGAAGGGTGATGCGCAAAAGGTCAATGGTCGTGTCTGAAAGCGGTCTTTTTGTACGACACCGACTCACCGAGCAACGGCGTGATACTGCGCGTGGTGACTGCTGAATAGGTGCTCGAGCCACGAGAGCAGGGAATCAGCATCGAGGGAAGACCCGGCCATGGGTGCGGGTGCAGCGCTTCCTACGAGAGAGATGGCACCCTGGCAGAGGCTAGCCATCGCACTGCCTGCGTGATAGGAGAGCTGTTGAGTCTCGTTTCGGAGCGCTGTCAACACACCCTCGCGGTGTTTGTCGTCGCGATACTGCTCTCCGACGGACGCCAACAGGTTTGCCAACTTTGCTGGACCATCCTTTGCCGCTTGACTAAAGCTGTGATATTCGCGAAGCAGACGAAACATGCGCAAGCGCATGTCAAAATTGAGGTGGCTTTCGGTCTGATGGAGCTTTGCGAGGGCATTTGTGAACTCTTCCACTACCCCGCAAAAGTATCTGCGCAGTCTGTGAAATTCCCAGTCTTGTCTTACTTCTCGATCGGTAAGAAAAGCAAAGGTGTCTTTGATCCAATTCAAAATGAACGTTGCGATCGCAACATCGCGCACCGCATCCTGCTGTCCCATGTGCGTCGACGTCAGCTGCATGACGTGAGCCACGGCGGTTCGCAAGCGTTCCGAGTGTCGACTCTTGCGCTGACCCGACTTTGGAGCTGACCGCTGGCGAAAGTCGTCGTTGAGCTGCGCACTGACCGTCTGCGTCGTCTCCAAAAGGGCACGATATAGGTTGCCGTTGATGTTGCCGAGCGCATTGACCACTGCGTCCCTGTATTGTGCTTGATCGGTTCCGAGAAAGGGCACGAGCTTGTGAAAGAGGTCCTTGGCCGCGATACCCCGCTCGTTAGCGTCGCCGCCGCCGCCGCCGCCGCCGGCGCTTGCGTGCCTGGCATGCTCGCGTTCCGAAGACGTCGTGGTGGTGCACAAGCACAAAACGTACAATTTCCAATGCGCCGCCATCAGTTGCTGCTCGGCAACGCTGGTAGGCAACGCAGCACCGGATCCAGTCACGGTCCGCGTCGTTCCAGCGGTGTGCATTCCGGCTACATTTGCCACTGCCGATTCCATGGCGAGCACGCGGCGCGTGACGTACGAACGAAAGACGGCGACGGTGGTGGGAAAGTGCTCAAGACACATTCTCAAAAAGTGCGGAAGCACGTGCTGCCAAAGGGAATGCTCGATGGAGCCATCGCTCTCTGCCAGCTCGCTGAGAGCTTCGGCGCTGCTGGGGCGCCTCCATTTCTTGATTCTGGCCACTTGCGATTCTGACAGCGACGCGTCCTCCTCGTTGCAGTACTCTGCGCAAGGCTTGTCGAGGAGATGAATCACGCGCGAAGCGTCTTCTTCCTCTCCCATGGCCCTCGCAGTAGCCAAAGCTTTGCGGCGAGCGGGGTTCAAAAACGTCTCGTCGAGAACGGCGACGAGGCGGAGGACGCTGATGGCATGTCTGCGCAACGCCCGCCATGCCGAGCACAGCAAGAAGAAGCCGTGCGCTTCCACTTCGTCGATGATGGCCCAAGCGCTTGTACGTTCCATTCCGTGCTTGTCTTGGCTCTTGCGGAGCTCGTTGAGCCACGTGTTGAGAAAGTCCGTCCAGAGCTTCACAGCGTGCTCGACCTTTGCCAGGAGCAAGCTTTGATGGGGATGCGTCTCCCAAAAGGCGACGTCCATTTTAAAGAGGTAGCGCATAAACCCAGAGACGATGGCCGCTGCTCCGCCTTTGCGCTGCTGCGCGATGCGACGCAGACTTTCTGCGGCAGAGGCAGACAAGCGGGGATCGGCGCTAAAGTAGCCTCTAAAGAGGGCGGATAGCACGCTGCCAAACGGTATGCTGGCGCTGAGGCAGCGCGGCCAAGAGTCGAAGCAAGCACGTAGCAGCTCGCAATACGGTTCGTGATCGCGCGGGAATGCCACCGTCGTGCGCAGGGTGGAGTGTAGCAGCCACACCAGACGTTCGTCGTCGATTTGAGGTCGAGGCGCACCGCTCCGGATGATTGCGAGGCCATCCTCAAAAATGCTTGCGGAGCCGACTTGATGATCGCAGATCAGCGCAACCTTGCCGATGAGGTCGTTGAAGGTGCTCTGCGCCTCGCCAATTTCCGGTCTTGGCCATTTGAACTCTGGCGCAAGCTCGTCTCCAAGACCAGATCTCTGTTCAAGCGTCAGGCCAGCAAAGGTCGCAAAGTCTGGGTGCGAAGGGAACGGCGGCGACTTTTCTTGCACGTAGGCGTCGAGCGTGAGCGTGATTGCTCGCACTGCAATCGTCATGCGCTGCTTCCACAGCAATTCGGGCTGCAGGGAGAGCGTGTTGCCGCTCAGTGCGGAAGCGCGCAAAAAGTCGAGGACCAGATCGCGGCCAAAGTCAAAGTGCCGGTATAGAACGAGGTGGGTCATGACGATGTGTGGAATCAGGCTGGCATCGGACGGCAAGACTACGGGACGTTGAGTGGGAAACCAGAGGCGGAAAAAGTGCTCCAATCGCTTGGTGGTGGTGTTGCTGCTCTCGCGGCACCTAAAGATGTACGCCCAAAGGAGACGAACGGCTGCATTGAGTACGACATTGCGCGTGCCGCGGTCCTTTAGCTTTGCCATGCCTGCCTCGATGCAGGAAATCCAGTTCCATCCACCAGATGCGGCTTGCAGCAGGCGCTCCTCTGGTGAGGCGCACAGGCACGCGACGTAGAGAGGGTAGGCTACCTGCCAGTACCGTGGCTTGCCGCACATTGCCAGTGCGCGTGGAGAGACGGCTTCGAGAGCGCGAAGCCAGGTAGGGTGGTTGAGCTCTGCTGACGCCAGCTGGGCAACTGGAAGCAGAATGTGGGTGAGTGCAGAGGCGTATGTAGACTTGAGTACTTGACCATGGCTGGCGGCAAAGTAGCGCGACAAAGTCTCGACAAAGTCGGCCCCCTCCTCGAAGAGTTCCATGGGGTATACCTGCGCGCGAGCCGGCACGTCAGCATCGAGAACGCGCCCCGCGCGCGCGCGCGACTCACGGTGATTTTGAGGTAAGCGGCGCCTTGAACGGCCACCGATGCGATGCTATCGGATTCGCGCGATGGCGACTTTGCGCACTGCTCTAGGAGGGCAACAAAGCGATCTCCAATGGCGACGAATCTGAGCGAGAGCAAGGTCAGCGAAGCGACGAATGTTGTGCATGGCAGGCATGGCTCACCTCTTGCTCGAGAGCTGGCCCAGCAGTGCGGCAGCGCTTTCGAACGCAGCAGCCTGGAGGTCCGATTTAGCTGTGCGCTCTCGGCTGCATGCCAGCATGATGCCAAAGATGTCGGCTTCGATGGCGTGCGCGGCACTTTCCGATAGCGTTCCAATGCCAGACTCCTCGGCGACTTTGCCCAGTGCTCGGCAAAGCAGGTAGGCAGATGCTAGCGCTTTCCGACGGCTCAGCAGCGCAGCAGCGTCCTTGACTCCGAGCTGACCTCCTGCGAATCCAGTCGTGGCTGCTGCTATGCTAGTGGCTGAATGCCCGAGATGAGCCAGACTCTGCCGTACCGCTTCCGCATCCACTGAAATTTCGAGTTGGAGATCGCGCCACCTTTTCAAAGAATGGACGACTGCGCTGGTGCTCTTGCGAGCGACGTGGGCGATGGAGCTCAACAGCGCGTCAAAGACTTTGTCGGCACCCTCGGCATACTCTGCGTTGAGATCGATCTCGCGGTCCTGCGTGTGCGCGCATGAGGACACGCGTGAGCGCGAGCGCAACATCTCTGCCATGCTCCCCATCACTCACCCCACTATGCATGCAAGCCTCGACTTTGGATCCTGCAAATTGCACCCACCGACTCATCAGGACGTTCAAGGCATACTCTGCAGGCGTTTTGGGATCGTTGGATCCGATTCCCTGCGGCAACGTTCCCAGTCCCTGCGCACCACTGACTGCTCTCATGCTTGCGGTAAAAGAAGGCCCCCTGCGCAAGCCTAGCTTGGGTGCACGCGGAGTGGACGCATAGCCGTTCGCAGCAGCAGCAGCAGCAGCAGCGCCGTCGTGCAGCGCAGCGCCATTCGATGTCGGGGGTGGCAGGGCCGGCGCAGCAGATGGCTCGTTGGGACTGTCAAATTCAAAGGCATCGGGAGCAGACGGGTAGAGCGATCGGGAGCCAAACGGGTCAGAGGGGGACGAGGCGTGCGTAGAATGCACCATGGGCACCGATGGTCGTCTCTGAGAGGATGCTTCGATGGAAGGACGCCCGCTAGAGCTTACGGCGTCGAGGGTAGCAGCAGCAGCACCTGGCATCGAGCCGGGAAAGTAGGCGGGCATCTGCGCAGAAAACTCTTCAGGAAAGGGTGGCAGGGGTGGCATGTCGCTGGCGCTGGGGCCGCCAAGCATGTGCGTAAAGTGCGACGATGGGCCGCCAGCACCGGCTCCATGACCTGCCACGCCGCTGGCACCATTGTGAAAGACGGAGGATGCGCCAGAAGAGCTGGCTGCAGCCGAGTGCTCGCTGTAGATGCTGCCATGCGGTGCGTGACCTCGACTGGGCGCATTGCCTGGCACCACGGATGAGCTGCTAAAGGCTGCACCGATGCTTGGTGCGCCGTGATGACTGCTGGCTGCCTTGGAGTTGATGGAGAGTTGACTGTCGTTGCGGCCATGGTGAGCAGGTCGGCGTGAGGAGGAGCTCTGCACTGCTGGTGTGGTCGCTGCTGATGAGGATGAGGCTTGCCCCTTGAATGCGGCCTTTAAGCTGGCAAAGCTGCCTTTGCGAGGAAAGGAAAAGGTGGTGGAGGAGGAGGCTGTGGTGGTGGTGCCGGCAGCGGATGGAGCTGGAAATCGATACCCGCTCGTCGCTGTTGCTTGCGCCCCGCTGCCAGAGCCTGCTGACGGGGGTCCCGCTGCTCCAAAGCTGTCGTTGCTCGTGCCGCTACCGCTGCGGCCATGAAAGGTGAGCTCAGCGCCACGAAAAGGGCCACCTGCGCGCGGCCTGTCTGGGATCTGGATCGAACTCAGCGCAGATGTAGGCGCTAATGCTGGCCTAGGTCGGCTTGCGGAGGACGGCGCAGGGGCAGGCGCAGACGCAGACGCAAGCTGTGCAAAGCCGAGAATGTCGTCATCGTCGAGGTCCGGTATTGCGATTTGCGCATCCATGGTGTGGCAGCGAGGGAGGATGTGCGTCTCTAAGGGGCAGTCACGAATCTGTCATCAGTGGCGAACGGCGGGGCGAGCAGGCAGGCGAGCGAGCTGCGATGCGGTGCGACTATGCTATGCTGGTTGCGGATCGAAAGTGCACTCGACTCGTGACTGGATGTGAGTCGTGAGTGTTTGTGGATATGCCGCGGCCGCGTACTCACGACTACTCACACCGACGAGGCGACTGCAGATGTACCGATACGCTGCTGGTGATGGTTGGATGAAAGCTCGCGCGATGCGACGCGATGCGATGCGGTGCGATACCAAAGCGTGCGCACGCCCGCATGTCTACCTCTGCTTCGCTGCATGCATACATGCATGGCCCGCGTGCCCGCGCGCGGCGCGAATTAAGCTTTGCATCAGCAGCAGATCGAGCGAGCCCCGCCGCGGACGGACGCGCGCGCGCATACATCGGCATCCGTGTCCACGCGGAGGTGGCTCAAGCGCTCGACTCTTGACTCACCCGCGCGATCGCTCGCACACTCAAGCATCTCACTCAAGACTCATGACTCCGTCAGCACGACGGCTGACAATCACAAAATCACACTCGGACTCGTGACTGTATGGCGTCTCGGGAGCATGGAGTGTAAAGTGCGAGTCGTCGACGCGGGTACTGTTTCACGCTGCCATCATGACGGGACGGGTTCCTGATCTCGAAGCCTTGTAATCTCGTCTTTGCCAATGACTCTCATCGTCGCTTCCCGTGAAGCCTCTCTCTCTCTCTCTCTCTCTCTCTCTCCCACTCACCTTCAAGAATTCCGAGACGGTGGGGCTGTTCCTCTCTCTGATGTTCACTGCTGGCTGCGTTGCTGGCTGGGGTCACAGTGGTACAGTCCGGCATCCGATCGAGGTCAGAGCCTCAGCCAGTCTTCACCATTAGCATTTCATCGGCATGTCAGCATGCGACCTCTGAGGGGGGCATTTCTGTGCAGGCAGGCATCATTTCCGATGGTGCACCCACAGCAGCGCTGGCAGACCTCAGGGCTCAAACCACCCCTTTCTATCGCAGCTCGCTTTCCATCGGCACCATCACCACGGGCACCGCCCCTGGGTGGGTATACACCTGCAGCGAGACGACTCCAACATTTACAGAAAGCAAGTTCTACTTCAACGCAGACATGAATGCCGAAGCCACTGCCTACTACGTAGGAGGCAATGCAACATACTTGGCAGGAATGGTCTCGCAAGTCAGCAATGCAGGAATCAATGGCACCGCCTTTCCCACTCGTAAACTCTCGGCCATCACGAACTCGACATACGCAGCAAGTCAGAATGGATTTCTTGGGTACAGCTGCGTTGGCCAGCGGCAGCTCCTGTCCTTTACCTGGATCAATGGTCACTCGTTTGAGCAATCTGCGCAAGGTCCTGCAGCACCTTTTATCGGCCGGGACAAGGATGCACTGGCTAAAGTCACTGCGGAGAATAATGCCATTCTCAGCGTCGACATGACCAAGTATGGATTGTTTGGCAGCACCGATGTGGCTTTCCTAGCCTCTGCACGGACAAAGGAAGAGCTTGACTCGAGCGATCAACAGATCAACTTCAATTACGTCTCCACACTCGCAACTCCAGGGCAGGGCGCATGCACGGACAGAGAGAACATCTTTGATCAACAAATTGCCGAGCCTGCCCCAGTGTATCGCTACATCTATATCAGGCTCTGGAGCGGTGCCGTGCTCGCTGTTCTGCCCTTGCTTCTCTGTGCCATATTGGGCTGGCCTATGTCGGCAGAGCACACGACTCCTTTCAACTCTCTGCTCTTGCTTGCTGGCGGTGGAGTTCGCGGAGATGACCTTGGCAGAATTTGGAGCTCTTCGAAAAAGACCAAGGAGGAATGCGACAAGTACGTCATCCCGAATCGTAGAGAAATACGCGACGAGGACCAAGGCAATGGACGAATGTTCCTGGAGCTTAAACCTTGACAAGGCACAGGTGACGCAAATCAGTCGACGGAGATGGGTCGCCACAGTCATCAGTTCCCACTTTGCGACGCCGAAATTCCCAATTCTTGGTGTATACCCAACTTTTGCAATGCAGTAGCGCTCAGCGAGTCGGCAAACGGCCGTAGCGCGCGTGTAGCCTGATGACTGATACTTTGTCGAGGCGCCACATCTTGGCTTGCTCAAAGTCTGACAGTGTTCCTCTTCGACTATCACGCCATTTCCAACTTTGCTTGGATCAGAGCAGTGTGAGGCGGTCATCGACGCGAATCGACTCCACATCGCTAGTAACTGAGGCAATGTGGAGTCGATGCGAGTCCCAATTGTCGCAACGCCAGAGAAGCGGGCGACAACGGTCGTTGGCCGTGTAGGACACGTGACTCGCGCTTCACGCGCCTATATGTACATATCTGAGACACCTAGAGCAGAGACGCAATGCAAGACTCTTACCACCACCTCGCGTGACTTACAGGCCGTCTCTGAGAGAATACAAACTTGCTGGCTGACTCAAGTCGACGCGGTTAGTTGACTGCAGTCAGTTGAGTCAGAAAGGCAATTCACGCAATTCAAAGCAGTCGATTCGGGTTTAATTTGAGCCAATTGACTTGGGGTTAGGGTTACAAGGGGTGGTGGAATAGGGTTTTTGGAGTTTGTGTTATAGGCATCTAGAGGGGCCTACTGGTATAAGTCGAGGATTTTACACCGTAAAGTAGGCTGCACCCTGCCAAAAAGAAGCATCCAGACATCTACAGACCTTGATCAGACGCTCAAGTGGGCATCTGCCATGACTTGGCTTTAATTTGCTGCGTGGCCGGTTAGGGTTGGCTGCATAGCAGCATGCGGCTCTGCCGCGGTTAGGGTTAGGGTTAGGGTTAGGGTTAGATAGGTGTTCCCGGCAGGGTTAGAAAAAATTGGTCCATAAATCTTGCAGGTCTTTGCAGTTCTGAGTAGCCCTGAAGAAGCGCTTCAAGACACTATATGGCACTTACTTGGTTGGACATCATGTGAGCAAGATATGGGGCTTTGAAATTTCTGTTGGCTGGGCAACTCAGCAAAGTTGGCTTAACCCTGGAGCAGATTATTCAAGAGGCTTGTAGAGCGCCTCAAATAACCCCTGTATGCAGAAGCTCAGACCTCAGAGCCTCTTGGTCTTGTCTGTGGAAGGCAAAATGTCTAACCCTACCGTAGGGTTAGGGCTGAACCCTACTTTGTAGACCCTACCAATCTAGAGTTTGGCTGAGCGTCGAAGTAGGGTCAGACCCTAACCCTACTTTCCCCGGGGGTCAGACCCTAGATTTACAGTAGGTTTAGACCCTAACCCTACTTTCCGCCAACCCTAGACCCTACTTGGGTCCGACTCTAGATTTACAGTAGGGTCAGGATTCTAACCCTACTCGACGGTAGGGTTAACTCTAGATGGTGCATGTGCGCAAGTAGGGTCTAAGCCACGGTGGTGGTGATCTCTAGATCTTGCATATGCACAAGTAGGGTCTGGTGTACGGTGGTGGTGAGCCCTAGATCTTCCAGGGTGACAAGTAGGGTCTAGAGTGCGGTGGTGGTGGGGCTCTAGATGCGCAGAGTGCGCAAGTAGGGTCAACTCTAGATGGTACAGGGTGACAAGTAGGGTCTGGTGTGCGGTGGTGGGGCTCTAAATGTGCAGAGTGCGCAAGTAGGGTCAACTCTAGATGGTACAGGGTGACAAGTAGGGTCTGGTGTGCGGTGGTGAGGCTCTAAATGTGCAGAGTGCGCAAGTAGGGTCAAGTCTAGATGTGCAGAGTGCGCAAGTAGGGTCTGGTGTGCGGTGGTGGGGCTCTAGATGTGCAGAGTGCGCAAGTAGGGTCAACTCTAGATGATGCAGGGTGACAAGTAGGGTCAACTCTAGATGTGTTCTGTGCACAAGTAGGGTCAACTGTAGGTGTGCAGAGTGCGCAAGTAGGGTCAACTCTAGGCTGAATGTCTGCACAAGTAGGATCAACTCTAGATGTGTGTTGTGCTCAAGTAGGGTCAACTTCAGGTGCGCAGAAGATGAGCATTCCTGCTCAGCCACAGTCTGCACAAAAAGATTTGTGCCCAGTATGAGCCAGCTGTGGGTGCGCACAAAAAGATTCGTGCACAGTATGAGCCAGCTGTGAGCGTGCACAAAAAGATTTGTGCACAGTGTTGAGGCTTGACAAGCGCACAAGTAGGACACACAACACACCTAGTAGACAGTTGATGAGCATTGGTTGGCTATCCAGCCCCGCCGCAAGGAGGCTCTCATCTGGGGACCAGGGGTTATTTACAAGGGAGGGGATATACAGGGGGGGTGTTCAGGATTCAGGACTATGTACAATCTGGTCAGGGCTGCTTAGTCGCATATCAGCTAGTCTCTTTGGGCAGAGGGAGTGCTAGCTCATAGTGCTGCAGACCTTCAAAGTAGAAGAGGCCCATGTGGGGTGGCTGAGCTCCATTGGGGTAGACCCTGGTGTGGTACTTGCCATTGTGCAGCATGACCACCAAGGCAGAGGTGTTGTATGTTGCGCAGGCAGCAGCCAGCATGACCTACTGGTATAAGTTGAGGATTTTACGCCGTAAACTAGGCCGCACTCCGCCAAAAGACGTGTGCCTGGACGTCCGCGGAGCTGATTTTGAAGATTTTACGCCGTAAACGCGCGCAGACAGATTTCTGCCATACGCGCCATACGCGCGCCATACGCGCGCCATACGCGCGCCATACGCGCCCCATATACGCACTCTCGGCCGGTAGCGCGTGTGCTCCAGGCAGAGGCGCACGCGCGCGCGCACACACCACGCGTGCTCCAGCCAGAGGCGCGCGCGCGCGCGCATAATTTATCCGCTGCATCTGTAGTCTCCGCGCGTGCGCGCCTGCGCGCGCACGGGTTTTGGCGGCAAGATCAAATTTGATCGCACACCCAACCGTGGACGCCCGCGCCATACCTGCCATATGCCCTACGAGCGCGCCGTCATACCAACACTGCAAGATGCGCGCTATATGCTGCTGCCACACGCAATGCGCACCAAGCAAGCATGCACAGCGGCTCATTGTCCCTGGCACCAACACTTTGATGTGCGGGTGTACAGCAAGCGGACTACCAAATGAGAAGCCAATCACATGGTCAGGAAGCTGTAATAGGGGCATTTTGTGTGGTGCAATTTGCTTGTCCAGATGGTGCCTCAGTGAGCAGAGAACACAGGCACAATCTGAAAGTGATGCGCGTCACATCAGCATCAAACAAGTACACTGGCACCAACACTTTGAGGACCCACTGTGCAGGCTCCTGTTCACCAATTGCCTTGCTCAGACACTCACTGGGTAGCTTTGATAGGGGCATTTGCTGTAGTCAAGACAGTTGTGCTAGAACAAGGGCCAGCAAGCAGTGACAGGCGCTCAAAGATTGGCATGTGCAAGGACAACAGGCGCGTCAGCCTTGTGGTGCGGGCGTGGCTGCACCACTATACGTGCTATTTGTGCCTCAGCAGTGACGCGTACCGCGCGTGCTGCTCACAGCCCCTCATTGTCCCTGGCACCGACACTTTGACCTGCTGGTGTACGGTGAGCATGCTGCCAAATGGGCTACCTATGCCACCATCAGGAAGCTGTGATAGGGGCATTTGATGTAGTCAAATTAGATCTGCCAGAACAAGTACCTGCAAGCAGTGACAAGATCTCAAAGATGGGCCTGTGCAAGGACTATGAGCGCGTTGGGGCTGGCGTGCGCATTTGGCTGCACCACTGTACGCATCAAGACCTCTTGTCTCTCACTACAGACAAGGCTTGTTGCATGTAGCAGATGATCTTCTTTGTGCAAGTGATCCTTGTTCAGCCGGTCACCAAGGCAAGCACTGCTCATGGCCG